TAGGGAATCACCCTTACCTCACTCTTCATCCACGTGGTTCTTATCCATGGGTTCCAGGGGTGGCCACATGACCCACGCTTGACCAATCAGAGCCTTCTATTTTTTACCAAAACAGTTGCCTCAGGGACAGGCACTGGTCCATGAGCATCAGCCCTGAATTTTTGCTAGAACTACTGGGAAAGAGGCATTGTCTTTCTACTGGGCATGGCTAAACTGGCAAGATGTAATGTTGGAACTGCTGGTGGATATCACCCCACGGTGAGAGGAGAGACTGACTTAGAAAGAAGTCAACATAGAAGAAAACAGAGCCAAGAGTCAAAGAAAGACAGATTAAGAAAATATCATCTTGAGTATCTGGTCCAGGTATTTCTGAAGCTCGGTGCTTTTTTATGTTTAGTCGGATTTCAGCAACTTACAACCAAAAGAATCCTGACCACTATGTCTACTCAGGGATCAGAACTTGGGGTGGGGAAATGGTCATGTGTATTTGGAGAAGTCCCCATAGATAATTCCCACACACCCATTAAGAGTGGACAGGGTTTGGAGACAGGAAGTGGGAGCATGCTTTTCCACATAAGACCAGTAGGAGCCGATAATGATGCTAGTTAAGAAAATATGGCCAAAATCACATAGCTACAATACAGTAAACCCCCTCTGAGCTTGAGTCTGTCTCCTTTTAAAAGAAAAAAAATAATATACTTTTTAAAAAGTAAAGACACACATCATTTAATAGGACTTTGCTGACAAGACAGTGTATTGAAATTGCTTCATTTTATCATTCAGGAATATCTAGCTTTTATTGAAATAAAAGCCAGACAGAAATTTGAAGAGCTGTTTTTCATACAACATTCCCTCCACTGATACAAATAGTGACCACATTTTAATAAGAGCGAGTTTCTGAAAATATAGGTCATTTCCTAAGGGCCAAAGTCCCTCAATGTTCCTCAGTCAGAATGTATGCATATCACAGACCATGACTCCAGCCATCTTCCATGCTGGAGCTGGGAAAGCTGCTGGGGGCTCTGCTCACTTTGCTCTAGTCACCACCCTGCCCCTCTCTTGGTGGGCTCAGCTTCCTCGAATGGCAAGGTCACCTGGATTTTTCTCCCACCTCTTCTAGTAGCCTACAGACAACCTCAGCTCTCACAGGAAATTGATGTGATGGTGTATATGCATCCTCTGCTGAACCTGATAAATGATTATAGCTCCTATACAACAATACACCATTTTTGCAATATTCCCCAACTTAGCAGAATGGAGTAGTCTGATGCAGGCTCCCAGGTCAGACTTGCTGGCTGTGTGTACGTAGGAAAGTTACTAACCTCATCAGTAAAATGGAGGTATTAATAGCAACTACCTCCTGGGATAGTTGGAAGGCGTAAAATCTTCAGGTCACTCTATGATGATCATTATTCACATTTTACAGATGAAAGTAACTTGCCCAAGGTCATAGAGCTAGTAAATAGCCAGATTGAGATGCAAATTCAGGTCTGGCTGAGCCTAGAATACATGCTGTTAACCACAACCACTGCCCCAAAGAGAGAAATACTGTGGGCACCAGCAGGATAGACTTACAGGCAAAACCCAGGAAAACGCGGGTCATATTTCACTTTTTTTTTTTAGACCTATATACAACTTATTTTTGCATCTTTTATTTTTTTGCATGCTGCAAATAAGAAATTTAGAAATAAGCCTCAGTGGTGTGTAAATCCTTTAAGGGTAGGGACAACTTCTTGCTCATTTTTGTTTTCTTCATATCATCTACCATAGTGCTCTGCACACAGTAGATGTTCCATAAGCATCTTCAATAATTGGAACTCATTGTGCCCACGGGTATAAGTACCAATCAATAGTCTTAGGCTGGTGGGGACACTCCAGGTTCCTGAGAGAGGTGTCTCTGGCAATTTACAGAGTTGTAAAATTTTAATATGTATTTATTTAGTCTTTAAATACTTCATAGCATGGTACCACTGCTGGATACGACCTGAATGAAACTCTGCTTCTTAACTGAGTATATGACTGTGGGCAAGTTACTTAGCTTTTCTGAGATTCAGCTTTCTCGTTTGTAAAACAATACTATTATTATAGAATTACGGAACTACTGGGAAAGAGGCATTGTCTCTTTCTAGAGTTGTAATTCTATAATACAGGTAATGATAATGAATGATAATACAGGTAAAGCACTTTGTATAGTGCCTGGCTTGTAGTAAATGCTCAGTAAATGCCACCTATTATTATAATTAAATTAAATATTAAAGAATATTTTCTATATTAATTTTTAATGAATTTTTAAATATGTGTGGGTATACAGGACCAACTGACTGAAGGACAAAGGACAGCTGTCCTGGGATCTGTTAAGAGGTCTGATTTCTGGGACACAGTTTTGCTGGGAATTATTTTTAAAAGCTTCAGCTGAGAAGATGCTCCCCCGGGAGCATCTCTGAGTGATGTTGACCATGGGTGTGGACCCCTCTCTGGGGATAAAACTTTTAAAGGGCAGAGCCTTTCCAAAAGTGTTCCTATCAATCTTCTTGCCCTTTGGACTACATGAATCAATTAAATCAGTTCACATTCTTTAGTTTTGTGGACCAGGTTTTAGGCAGATCTGCAAGTGTGTTTTAATAAGGATTTACTCAGAAAATAAATTGTGTCTCTCTCATCTGCCAACCCTCCCCAGTTCCCCCTGGGAAACAGGTGGGACTAGGAAGACCTATTCTTTAGGGGTAATTCATGGCCAGGATTCTTTGTGGGGCTGAGAATTTGCAGGAGGAGATGTGGCTGATTCTCAGATATGCAAACAGGAAGGCTGAAGCTGCTGGGCTTAAAGCTATTTCATTTCTACCAACTTTATAGACTTTCTACAAAAGTAGGCCTGTTCTAGGGGGTGGAGGGTGGGGTAAGATGGAAGAATGCTAGGTGCCTAAGACATAGTCGTGACCCTTAGGGATGTATAAAGTGGTGGGAGAGATGAATATATCAACAACTAACCATAATGCAAAGCAGAATGAATTATGAGCCTTGCTCATGGTAAATGCAATGGGCTGAGAAAGCCAGAGAAAGGAGAACGCCCATCTAATTGGTTGGAAGAGACGGACTAAGATTGCAAAAGTTAGAACAGTGGGGAAAGGGCCTTGGAGGTGACTGGAACAGCCTTGGCACAGAAGCATGTGCTTAGACGAGTAGGGATTGTCAAATTGTGTGGGTCACTGGGATGTGAATGAGGTGGAGGATGCCAGAAGAGGAGGAGAAGGTGGGCCAGAGTTTGAATTCCACCTTCAGGACTTCACAGGGTCCTTTTCAGTCTTCCTAAGCTTGTGGTGTCCCTGGGTGCCCCATGCCCTTGATGGGGATCATATTACAATGCATCTACATCCCACATTAAGATCAATTTATAGCTGTAGAGCTGAGATGAATGAGTTGAGCTCTCATTGACCAGTTCAGTGTACCTATAGATGTGGTCCTAGGACCAGTGGCAGTCCAGGAAGAGTTTGGAATCAGGTTGGGGTGAGATAAGCATAGAATTTGAGAGGAAACATTTAGAAACTTTTATAATCGTTTGACATGGTCTCAATAACCAAGCCATGTGATCGTTTTTTCTAGTAACTCATTTTCATTCTAATTTCCAAAAATAGTGGTCCATAATACAAAGGGAAACATATTGGTCTGAAATACGTTGGCGATTTTTAAATTGCCATGGCCCAGTTTTCTTTTGTAACATTGGAAGTTTTATTTTTTAAGTTGAGAAGTTCTTATTTAGTTGAAATCATATTACTTTTACAAACAATTTGAGGTCAGAGATGACAGAGGAAAGAGTTGATGAACTTGAAGATAGATCAATAGAAATTATATAGTCTGAATAGCAGAGAGAAAAAGGATTGAAATATCTAGTACTCATCATCATATCTACATTATAGTACATTGTGCCTAAACATTATTCATAGAAGATAATTTTGTGGGAAGTACAGGAACCTACTCAGACTAATTTAAAATAAAACAAAGGAATTCAAGGACAGGGAGTACCATTGGATCTCATGAGGGATGGAGCAGGAAATGTAACCCAGACTGCTTCTCCTCCTCCCTTTTCTCTCTCCCACCTTTCTCTCTCTTTCCCTCTGCCATAGATGCTGTGCTGCACTGCCCAGATCCTTATTCTGGAATACGGATTTATTTTCCAGCCACTGCCAGAAGATTTAAGATAATCACTTTACAAACCTGGTACCTTCAGCTAAGGACACAGCCCCTGCCGTCCTGATTCCAAATATCCAAGAGGGAGGACTAGATTGACTCCTGAGTTGAACACTTGGATCAGGAGTTCACTCCAGGCCCAGTGATCTGTGGCTGGAGAAGTGGCAGAGTCATACAGCATAGGGTAAATGAGGGGTACAGGAAGAGAGGGCAACTCAGAAAAGACGGGTCGGTTCCTGCAAACGTGGACCCTACCATATGTCCTCCTCCTCCGTCCTCTTAAAACGTATTTTCTCAGTCAGCTCCCTCACTCTTCATCTCTTTCTCCTTCTACAATCCCAGGTTTGAAATCAAGGAGGAGCTTTTCAGAGGTAGCACCACGTGATGGACAACGGTCTGGACCCAACGTCAGCAGGCCTGGACGGTGGCCTACCTCACCCAGCTCGCTTCACATCTCTGGGGCTCGGGTTTAAGGTCAATTAGAGAATTGGTTCGCTAACTTAAATCATCAGCGCTTCTCTGAAAACAGGGAAATATCTAGGTCTTTGATCGTTGCTTGCCTGAACTCAGCTCAGTGCCTAGCATAGAGTAAGAACAAAGATAACTTTGAAAAGAGGACATAGCCTTTAAAAATGAAATGCTGGTGAATTACAATAGGACAATAAGGTAAATTGTGACCCAAAAGCATAGTGTATTCTGGGTATGGAACCCATTAACAATATCTAGCCCCTGGTAAGTGCTTATTTGTGCCAGTTAGCACTTCGAGTGCTATTCCCATTACTATTGCAGTATGACAAATCACCCCAAAACATAGCTATTTAAAACAATCATTTTATTATGCTTATAGATTCTATGGGTCAGGAGTTTGGGCAAGGGAACGGCCTGTCTCTGCTCCATAATGTCCAGGGCCTCAGTAGGGAAGATTTAGTGGCTGGTGGTGACATGACAGCTGGGAGCTGGAATCACCGGAGGCATCACTCACGTGACTGTTGGTTGATGCTGGCTGTTGATTGGGACCTCAGCTGCAGCTGTCAACCAAAGCCTGGTCTTCCTCACAGAATGGTGGCTTCAGGCTAGCAGGACTCTTATGTAGCAGATAAGGTTCCAAAAGCAAGTGTCCCGGTTCACAAGGCAGAAGAGAAGCTTCATGGTTTTTATAACCCAGCTTCAAGAGTCAAACGGCATCATTTCCTCCACATTCTATTGGTTACAAGCCCGTTCCGATTTAAGAACGGGAGAATTAGGCACCACCTGTTGATGGGGTGGGGACAAGGTTCTCATAGAGCATGTGGGATAGGACATATTATGCCATCTTTCGAAAGTTCAATCTGTCACACACACATTATCTCATTAACTTCTTCCACTGTCCTTGGAGTAGGCATTGTTGTCCCTTTACAGATGGAGAAACTGAGGCTTAGCGAGGTTAAGTAACTTGTCTGTGGACAAAGCGAGTACATGACAAGGCTGGCCTTAAACCCAGTCTGTACAAGCAGGTACTCTCCTACAGCATATACGCTGCTTGTAGGAAATGAGAAGTGAAAAAAGAAAGACATTCAAAGGCCAGTGCTCCCCACATACAGGATGCAGAGTGGGTAAACCTTCTTCCTCATTACCCTGATGCCAGTTAATATCTTCCCCATGTTATAAAGGAGTCTGGTTCCTGTGCAGAACTCCCCAAAGTGTTGTTTCCCAGAATCAATGCAACTATTGTGTGTACCTTTGATGCCATAGCAAGTTTTCCAGATAAGTGCTGGCAGAGCTGTTGATGTGCCCTTATCTGCCCCCATTTGGCAAAAGACTCTGGGGAGCAATGAGTTGGAGGGAGCTCTGATCCCTTCTGTAAAGGCAGCACACAGAACCAGTTTGTGCCAGGAACGACTTCTCTGCCATGTTCCCCTTTTGAAATCATATCTTCCCTTAAGTTCAAACAAGGACCACTTCTTACAGGAAGTGATCTCTGATGCTCCCATGATACTTAGAGTGTTCAGATAACACTTGGCAGGTACTGCTTGCTCTGCTATGTTCTTATCCCGCAATGAGTCTTCTGTGGCCCCAGAGGGCAAGGACCATGCCCTATTCTTCTTCAGTTCTCTTCCCCTTACCACAGGAATGATACCTTGTTCTTATTAGGTACTCAATAAATACCAACTGATTAGATCAAAGTGCCTCATAAACTTTATTATTATTATTCAAAGCACTTTTGAGAGCCTACTATATCACAGGCATTGTGCTAGGTGCTAACGACCCTTGTGATCCAGGAGGAAGAATTTCGAAAATAAAATATGAGCTTCCTGGGTGCTCTGCAACAGGTCAATAACGTACCAAAACTGCTCTTTAGAAGCAAAGCATCCTTGGTCCGATTAAGAGGCCTTCATTTCAGGTATATTTGGAGAAAGTGTTATAACGTTACAATCTCTATCAGCTGTCCGATGATTCTAGAGTCAGACACTTAGAAAGTCCCTGAACTGAGCTTTTAAAGTCCAAAACCTTGGCTTTAGCTTCTCCTATTAGTCGTCTGAATAATGGTTGTAACAGGAGCTATTGGACAGGAAAGAATGGGTCTTACTGTTCTTCATTTCAAATTAGTCTTCTTGTAATAAGCAAATTTTTCTACTCTTCTTTTAAAAATTTGTCACCACTTTACCTCAAAGTTTTCTTAAACAGCATGACCTTTTGGAAACACCATTAAATGTTCAAAATCAGCTGATACACCTGTTCAGAAATTACAGGTAATCAATATCAGAGTTGCATCTTCACTCATTATTCACAGCATAAATTCTTGATTCAAATATAACCCTATTATATAAAACACTTTCCTCAGCACACCATCACCAAGGAAAAACAAGTCCCATAAATAATTACCTTTGGGATAGGAAAGAAAATGTAAACATTTTATTTGGCAGTTGTTTCTGAACACATGAATAAATAAATGGAAAAGTACATATTAATATTTCTTTTTAGAGGAACAGAGACCATGACACGCTTATTTACACATCTTCACTGCAAAGAACAGTCACACAATTCAATTTCATCTTATAAAAGGGAACTTCCCACACCACTGGACTGGACAGTTAAGGATGGAGATACTGGTAGTGCTTGGTTCTAGCAGTCTCAATGTTTGAAAGGCATTCATTTGCAAGTGTGATAAGAAGAGTCATCATGCATTGAGTTCATCCGGACCATGTACTGTAGAAAGTTTCTGATGGCAGCCACAAAATGTATATGTGTCATGCGCTTAAGTCAACTATGACATGTTTGTAAATCTGTGTGTTTCCTTTAAAACTGGAAGCAAAAAGGAAATTACGCTTATTAATGGACACATGTGTAAATGATCTTGGTGCCTGAACATTTAATTCCTGAAATTTCACAAATTTGGCTTTCTCTGCATCCCAGTTATACACTTGAGTAAAAGAATAATCACTTCCAAGAATGGCGTATTGATAGTTATTTATCTGAAGAGGCTGGAACACCATGGATCCTCGTGACGGCATCCTCTGAATATCCTGAAATGAGGAGCCTCCCCATTTCATTACTTTGGAGTCACCAATGAATCTTGTCAAACAAATGTACACGTCACCCTTCACCAAGAAGTGCTTGACGGCATACACATCCTCCATGTTTGGGATGTCAGTTTGGTTCATGAATAATTGTGTTGCTTTGTTCCACTGATAAATGACAGGACGCTGGGAGCTACTGGACAAGATTAAATGAGGCATTCTGAGTGCCTGAGGTGTTCTGGCTATTTCTAGGTATTCCACATCAGTGTCCCTGTACCACGCATGTAAGGATTGATGAGAGTAGAATCCATTTCCATTCCATTTGTAAATGGTGGTAAAACCAGCTTTTGAACTGTCAGCAACAACGAAGTACCAGTTGTTTTCGATCTTGAATGTTTCAATGTCATTGGGTTTTCGAATTTTGAGAATTTCAATATCCTGGATTTTTATAAATTTATTTGCAAAACTGTCTCGCTTATAGATGTGAGAGCCACCAAACAGCTGGGCCACAATAACATAAAGCTGAGTTTCAATGACTATAGGCTTGCATACTACAGTGGACGTGCCTGGGAAAAGACAAATGAGAGATTAGTGGGATGGTGATCCCTTTTTTGGAGTGTGCAAGCATGTAAGCTGAGACCATACAACTTCCACCAAAAGCAGCCTGAAATAAAAGATTTCCTTGTTTGATTAGGCAAGGCCAATCACCAAGGCCCAAAGGCATCAGGGTCCTGAAGTTCTGCGTCTTTGTGCTTCATGAGGCCTTGTTACCAACAATTGAATGGTCGTGTCACATCCAACCCGCACTAAATGTTCAGGGCACATGGCTACAGCCTGAGTTTTCTTCTCTCACTTCTTGCAGAAAGAAAGCATTGCTTTCCCTGACCCATCATGTGTAATTGTAGTGAAAATGGACATTTATGTAGTGAAAATGGACATTTACTATATGCTTTGCTAAATCATCTCACTAAAATTGTCCAACAAGCTTAAGAGATAAATATTATCATCCTCCCTTTTGCAGATGAGAAGACTGAAGCTTAGAGAGGCTCAGCGCTGCTAGGAGAAGGCAGAGTTAGGATTCAAACCCAGGCCTACCAGCATCACTATGCTTTTAACCCAGCCTGGGGTGGAGATTTAGGTGTTCCAGGGCTTCCAGCTTGAGCTAGGATCCCACAAGATTCTACAACAACCCCACAAAGTTTTGAGTGGTGGTCTGGGCAGCCCACCCCTCTACCTGTAATTGGTTTGCTCTAAGTGTAAACTGCTTCTTGCTCTAGAATGACCTGACTTTTCCCTGAGAAAGGAAAGTGATGCCACTTGTCATTTTTTTGAAGCTTTAGATCACTGGTGGCAGGAGAGAAGAGAAGGAGGAGCAATCCTTGAGAAAAGTGAACATGGGCACCACCATAGGCCATGCTCCTGCATGTTACTTTGGGAAATCTCAGAGAACAATTTGGGGCCCGTCAGTGGGACTAGCTCAGTATCCTTTTGGTAAGAGTTTAATATTTATGAATAGATTTTGATCTCCTAGAGGGAGCTTGGCTCTAGAAAATCCAAAGAGAAGAAGGGCAAATCCAGACCCCAGGCCTTTCCTCACTGCAATTCAACAGGCCCTTAGGCAGTAAGTTCTGCATCAACTCCTACTAATTTGCTCCATTCATAGGCAAAATTATCCTATTTGTGACCTTTTTCAGGACTCAACTAATTGTGTGACTTTGGGAAAATCACTTCACTTCTCAGGGATTCAGTTTTCTCTTCTGTACACTGAGGGGTGGAACTAGATGAGGGATGGCCACTACATTTCAACCATGTATCCACATTGATTGACAGATTGATTGTAACTGCCTGGAGAATTGTGTTGAGAAGGACTCTGTGGCCATGTCTGCACTCCTTAAGAAAGGACATCAAGACAGACTAATGCAGTCTGGGCTGAGGGAGGGGATAGTGACCGCATATGTGACATCTATTTGCCATGCTAGACTAACGGATGCCTTCTGAAAGTCTGCATATATATGATTCGTTTCTCTTTCAGGTGCTCATCTAGAGATTCATTCAAAGCAATTAGGAGTGTACACAGGTAGAAGAACCTGGTTTAGACTGCACAAAGCCCTGCTGCAATTTATTGGAAAACTGAGGGGGGTTGCGGGGGACGGTTTGGGAGAAAGGGAAGCTTAGCTTTCCTCCTTGAGAAAGAGATTTTAGAAAGGCCTCAGTTTGGAGGGGATTCCTTCATTTGGGTACCTCAATCTCAAGCAAGCTCCAGACCTGTCTTGATCCTTTGAGCAATGGGTTGATGACAACCAACAAAATCTAATTAGGACCCTCCCAGTCTTATCTTACAGACCTTTCATGGGGATGTTTGAGTGCTTTTAGGAGCATATTTAAAGATGTCAGAAGATAAAACTGATGTAAACATTTCAGAGGGAGACCCATATTGACTTTGAAAAGTTATGACTTAAGGTTTTTAAAGTTGTTGAAATGAGAAAGAAACTTAAAAGATCACCTAAGTAAAAAGTTTTCATGGAAAAAACAATTGGCTTCCACAGTCAAATTAAATGCAAAAAATACTAGAAAGAGGCTTGTTTCCTCACTGCAGAACTTCTCAGCCTCTAATGTGTATTATTACGAATTTCCAAGAGGAAGATATGGTTCACAGATTTATTGGACCACAAAACCCTTTTTATCGCTAGGCATTTTGTGAAAACATTTTGCAGAAGTAATGTTTGTGCAACAAAGTTTGAGACTCACTGATCTAAAATGACCTCCTAATTTTCTAGTTTAGAAAAACGTGGAAAAAAAAGAAAAAGAGAAGTCTAGGGAGAGTGACTAGGTTGCTGGTTTGTTTGTGGCAGAACCTGTGGATTGAACTCATGATTCCTAGTCCGATACTTCTTCTGTGAGGAAAGCCAATCACCTTGTATTGCGTATTTACTAAGCTACCGTCCTATGTTAAGTTTCTTAAACATATGATTGCATTATCTTATAATAGCCCTATGAGTTAGGTATTATTATTCCAATTTTACAAGTGAGAAAATTAAGGCTTAGGGAACAGTCTCAGGTCACTCAATAAATGGCAGAGTTGGGATTCAAATGTCTCTAAGCCTGCTCAAAGCGTTCCCCAATAGCACTCATCTTTTTCTGTTGCCCTTGGTCCAAGGAGATTAACTTTCCATGAAAAAAAAAAACGGTTAGGCTTTTCATACCCGTAATGTTGTCATAATTCCGGAAGGTCTTTTCTACATGGTCCCATTCAAGGAAAATGCATTTTCCAGTAAAAGGCTGAGCGATGACTACATACTCATCGTTCATATAAGAAAAAGTGTCTATGGACAGTGATTGATAAGGCAGGTCTTGAGACTTTGCAAATTCTGCAAAAATAGGAAATGATGATGAGTAGCAGTGTGCTAATGCCTCGTTTGTTGGCTAGATCTCAAATGTCCATGACAAATACATTTATTTTAGAGACATGGTAAAATGGCAATTTTATTTTGCTTTAAACACATGAAGTTTTAATGTTTCATAATATTTTAAAAATTAAATTGTTCAGTTGGTTTTTAAGATATAAGAAATATCAGTTCCTGCACCCGTAAAAAACGTAGCCTTTATTTTAATTTTATGAGGTGGAATGACCTAGAATCCATTACCTGTAATGATACAATCAAAGTCCTTGGAGGAGAGACTATTGATTTTGCGCTTCTTGTATTCTGGAGGGCCTTCACAGTAGATGTCTTCTACAGTTGCATTGGTGTGGCCTAGCCATTCCACCAGCCACTTCAGTTTGCAGTCACAATTAAACAAATTCCCTCTCAGATCCCTGAAAGACAAACTTTAGCTGCTTTTGCTCTATGATGACCTTATCTAGACAAATATGACTTATATTTCAGCAATCAACATGTGCAGAATCACCCATAATCATGAAGTACAGAATGCCCTGTAATCTACCTTGAACCCAACTGATTCACTCTGGGCTCAGAGAGTTACCACTGTGCACCCTTGAAGGCCACCCCAGTCAATAGAACTTCATCAATTACTACCTCTTAAATTCAAAGGTAGCTCAGTCTAGAACTAGGCTGTCCATAGAAACAAAATGTGAACCACATATGTAATTTAAAAATTTCTACAAGCACACTAAAAAAGTAAAAAGAAACAGGTGAAATTAACTGTAATGCTATATTTTATTTTATCCAATACATATAAAATATTATTTCAATAGGTAGTCAATATAAAAAATTATTGATGAGATATTTTACATTCTTTTTTATACTAAGTCTTTGAAGGCTAATGTGTATTTTATATTGATATCATATCTCAATTCAGATGCTAAACCATCATCAAAAATACCTGATCTGTTTTTAGACTTAATAAAATTTCCATTTGAAAAAAATAGATTCACACAACCAAGTTGTTGCAACCAGACTTAAAAGTTTTCCATAATTAAGCTGAGACTCAGTTTTTAAATTTAGGTTTTTACTTAATCTTTAAAAAATTAAATAAAATTTACAAGTCAGTTTCTCAGTTACACTAGGAACACATTTCAGGTGCTCAGCGACCACATGTGTGGCTACCATATTGGACAACGCAGGTCTAGAGGAGAGTATGTAGTGGTTATTATATCATATTTAATTAAATTGAGTGAGCTACTTGCTTTTCTTTTTCCTCACAGACATAATTAATCCTGACCTTATTCCATGGTCTACAAATTCAATTTTAATAGGAAATGACTTCGGCACAGCAGAGTTAACACAGACATGCAATAGCTCATGTTCATAATAAACTATACAGCATAGTTTAAATTTCCACATGTGATCCCAACTGACCAAGCTCTCTGTTTATTTGTATTGCTTGTGTTCAGAAATTCCATCTCCTTCCTAAAAGCCTTCCTCATCACACAGAATTCCTAAGATAGGTCCTGCTTACTCTTCACACAGCACATGAATAATTTTTAAATGTTGAAGCATTTAAACATTTTTTAGGAGACACATTCAAGAAAACCAAGGAATCCACTAAAAGGCAAGTTGGCGTGGATTCTTGTATTTCTTACATATTTCTTGATTTGGCATACCAGAATAGGCCCAAGAGGCCATATCCATTATGGGATTCCCTGGAGAAACTAAGCCAATTTCAAGTGTATTTATTTTATTTTGTTTTGTTAGTGTAAGGTACAGGCGGACACAAGGATGAATCAGAGGGTCTCCAAATAAGCTGTTTCCCCAATTCTGCCATGGAGTATCATCTAACTTCTAAGACATTCCCAGGACTGACCTCATCTCCCAAGAATACCCTGACCCAGAATAATGAGTGTTAAATTTTCTGGGCTATTGTAAACCAGAGCAGAGAACTGTGGTCTGTTCAAGACTTTTTTGCAAGTGTCCTGATCCTGGCACTCTCTTGGAAATAAACCATCATTCAGGAATTGGGGTGATACGCACGGAGGAGGGGCTGGGAGAATATTACAAGGAACAAAGAAAGTTTTTCATTAGCTTACTGATTTGAAGTTAAATACTGGATTTAGGAGAAAATACTTGACTCAGAATTTTTGGTATTGGAGGAAAGTTGTTTTGAATATATATTCTATAGCAAAGTACCTGAATAATAAGAAATCTTTTGTTTTCATATACCCTTTATTTGTTCTTCTATTTTACCTTATGGCATTTAAATACCTTTCTAATGTACTGGTAGGCACTTAATGAAGCTAAATTGCTTTTGAGAGGGCTAGGCACTATTACTTGCTTTGCTTACAGCAAAATATACAGATTTTCTTACAAAGATCTTTCACTCTGTGGCTTAAAAGTCAAAGATTGAAAGCTCTTTTGTTTGAAAAGGGGTCAAAAATAATTAAGTTCATTCTCTTCCTGGGGCTTAAGCCAAATTCCTGGGGATTAAGCCTAGAATTGTTGTTCAGTCTAATGAGAGAAAAGGCAAACTTTCCTCCCATCCCCCACTTCCTGCTCCACTTCTCTGTTGACTGACCAACCCATGGGTGTAACCTTTCATCTTTACTCTGTCAGTTTCCCAGACTCCTTTATGTTTTTTTCTTTTGTAGCCCCATTTCCTGGACCTTGTGAGAAAAAAAAAAAGCTTGAAATTTCTATCTTGGCCTCCTCTTCCCATTCCTTCAAAGTCACTTATCACCCCCCCCCCCCCCCCCCCATACCGACACACACTTTGTCAAAGGCATGCCCGGGCACTATAGTTTCAGAATTTCCAGTGGTAAATACCATAGCAGACTTAAACATTAGTTCAAGTAAATTTAAAATTTAAGCCCATTTAAATCCTAGTTTAATTTTAAAGCCAATTAAACATTCTAATCATCAATACCAGGCTTCTTTGTTAGCTACTGCAAATTAGTTAATCAGTGATTTTGTAGGTCCTCTTACACATTTGTTAAAGAATCCAAGCCTTTGAAAATATCTTTTGGGAGGGTCTGGAGATTGTTGTTTGCAAGGCTCCTGGGGGAGAAAAAATAAGAGTGATGTAAACTGTAGTTATAAACTAAATAAAATGCATTTTATGATAAAGCTTAGTTATGAATCCCTTTTGTTCTTCCCAGACTGCACTAAATTACTTGCAGTACTTTTCTTCTTCTAAGATACCAATCGGATTCCTGCTATTGCATTTTCAACTCTTCACTTCAACACTCACCCAGGGCTTATGGCACGCCACGTATCATGGTTAAAAACAAAACAAACAAAAAACCTACCTCCCTCCAAAATGCCAGCAACAAAATGATACCTGGGGATTGATCTTTTATATCAAGAACAGATATAAAATTCACACTCTCAGACATTCAGTCTGGGAGATGTCTCCCAAATGGTGACTAACTAAACAGTGACAGTGTCCACCTCCAAATGTCCTCTCCTCTAACACTTAGGCTGCCCTTTCTCCTCACTTGCTCCAGGGAGCAGATAAACCTCCAACTGAGAGTACCAATAGCTCCAAACACTCTCAAAAGTCTTCTATCTCCTTTAATTAATGTAAGATTTCTCAAGTGTAAACAAACATGCAAGACTTTCAAAACCATTTTAAGTTACTTTTGTTGTTGTTCTGAGTTTTAGAAATTACTACTAGATTGGAAATCCTTTTTTCAATGAATCTTGGCATATAAGAATGGTTATGGAATTAGAATGTTCTCGTCTCATGACGGTCCATTTTGTGAAGGTCACAGCTTTGGAGTCATTCTGAGCTTGGTTTGTCTCCTGAGTCTACTATTTGTTGGCTGTGTGACTTCGGTTATGCATCTTCTCTGAGACTCAGTTTCTTTCACTTTTGAGTGGAGGTAATTATAGTAAGTATAGTGGAGGTAAAATAGTACTTCATGTTATCAGATTATTAGAAAAAATGAGATAACTCAGGATGGTCTCTGGCATCTGGACTACTCTCAATAAACTGAGAGGAGGAAGATGGGAAAAGATTGAAAAGGGCTTCTGCTTGTCCATTGCTCAAGAAACAGCACTGAGAAAATTGGCCATATGAATGAACTGCTCTGACTGCCCACCTACATAGTCATAATAAAATGCTGCTAAAGAAGACTATTCAAGAGAATGTCTCCATACTTTATCTTACTGCCTGGTGGTTGAAATAAGAGAGTTCCTGATGTCTTGGATCAGTCCAGAGTCACTCCCAAGTTATGTGTCTCAATTTACTTTCTGGCAAGATGTATCTTAAAGTTCTCATGCTAATTTCTCCTCAGTGGACATCCCTCCCCCAGAAATCAGCACAAACTGCAATTGGCTGCAGAGCACAAGCTTTCAGGAGGCTGGGTAATAGGACAATAGGCATGAAGTGATGAAGCAGTCAAGTCCTGAATTGCTACTGCCACTAGGGTTGCACAGGAAGACGCGTCATGTTTGCTTTGCTGCCCAAGGTGGTTCTTTTCAACAATGGGTGAATCCTGCCCAAAGAATTAGAGCTCTAGGCTTCACATACCCAAGGTGGAGGCTAACCACAGGAGCAGCTGATGAGGTGGTCAGGGATGCAGACTCGGAGCTACAGGGTTTCTGGGGTAGAGAGATGGTAACTTTGCATGGCAAGATGGAAGACATAATTCAACAGAATTGGGGGAACTGATAAAGAGAGGCTGGCCTGATGGGCTATAGAATGTAGCATTATGCTTCCTGAGGACCTCATGTGACAGGGAGGTTCTTGCGCAAGGAACCAGAGGGTGGAGGAGGCAGCACAATATGAGGGGTGCCAGAGGGAAAACGTGGATGGATTTACTGTACTCAGTGACACCCCTTCACTGTTCCACTACCAAAATGCAGTCAAACACTGACTCACAATGGACTGTTTCTTAAGGAGATAGGATGGAGCTTCATGTCTAGGTTTGGTGAGGCAGAGGCATGAGAAAGCTGCCCGAGCTCACAAAAGAAGCAGAAAGAAGAAGTCAGACACAGAAATGAGAGAGAGGCTTCTGGATGCCCGAGGTCCAGGAATTGGAGTTTAAATAGCTTCCTTGTGTCTCTGAGGCCTCAGTGACATCAAGTTACATTTGGAAAAGAAGAAAGCAGGCAGTAGGGACTTGGGCAGAGAATGTCTTAGGAAAGGAATGTTGACAGAACCTGGGAATTATTCTGCAAAAAGTGTAACAGGGCCCTGATATAAAGCAACCTTCCAGCGCAGGCTGAGGAGTACGGGGTGGAGGGACGCATAGGATGCATAGAAAGGGATAAGCAGAACCTGCAAGGTTAAGAAGCGAAGTGTGAAATGCCCCTACACACATCATTGCTGTTAGGAGTTTTTACCAATTCCCAAGTAAAGAGAAATTGGAAATCTTAGAGGCCCACTGCACAACTGAAGAAAGATTTAATCTAGCATTGCCTGTAGTCGCAAAAAATTAGAAATAACTTACATGTGCATTACTAAGGGACTATGTAAATAAATGATGGCCGATAGTTAACATGAAATATTTTGCAGGAGATTTTTAAAAATGAGGTTGATCTCTACAATATGACATGAAATGTTACCTATGTAAAAAAAGGAAGTTGGAGAATAGTATGTAGAGTGTAGGGAGGTTATACGGCTATAGGTACATAAAGAAAAGTCTGGAAGGAGATGTAAAAACTGTTGACCAAGGTTACATCTCTGGATAGCTGGAATCTTTCACTTTTGCTATGTAGATGTCTGGATTGTGAGAGTTTTTATCATCAAGCATGTATTATCATTTCAAATTCAGAAGAAACAAAGATAAAGTTGAATTTGTAAAAGAACCCTGTTACTTAGAATCTGTGGATGTAATGGTTTTAACCAGTGAGGATTCAGTCAATCTAAACCAATCATTTGGACGTATTCATAATGTTTCAAAGTTATGAGTTGGAGTGTGAATAACTGTCACAGTCAGCAGTTGGGTGCCTGGGTGGTCAGATAATGTCACCTTCTTTCGTGGGAGGGGCTGGAGGATGGAGCTGACTTCTTTCCCACAAGATCCCCACATGGCTTCAGGCCTTCACCCTCTGAGGAAGCTTAGGACATCCCTGGAGGCTCCTTGCACCAGCCCAAAGTCAGCTTTGAGGAGGGCCTCGAGCCTCCACAAACCGTCACAGGCATCTAGGGGCTTAAGAGAGATTCTCTGCAGCAGAGAGCTTCTGAGGCTCTGGGCCAGAGCTACCAAGAGGAGAAAGAGGTAAATCCTGTGAGGTCCCTGAAGTCTGCTCAGCATGTGGTCCTTCTGCCAAAAAGGTGGCTAAGACAATAAGACCTGGTGCCTTTTATGTTATTTAAACAACTAGAGATATTGAGATAGCATTTCTGGGATTAGGATTAGGGTTGTTTTGGGGTTGTGGTTAGGATTATTTGGTTCTTCAGATTCCATCTCTGCACTGAGTTTTGCCACTGGAAAGCAAAATGGAAAATCGAATCCATTAAATTGCCTCAGTTTCCTCTTTCCCTCCATCTGCCCCATTTCACAGAGTAACAGCTTAATATTATAATTATTGGGTTGTTGGAAAAGTCATGACGTATTTTTTCTATGTTTTTCATTGCAAAAATGCGTCATGACTTTTCCAACAACCCAATAGTTCCTTTCCCTCAATAGGAGCTCTGGTTGAAATATGTTGTGTATCTTTTGTAAGACTGGTCATAGCTCTTATTTTCTGCATCATTTTGTGTAGTGGAGCAGTTGGGTCTCAAGTAGACAAGGGATTAAATTTGAGCTTCATCACTCTCAGGAGTTCTTTAGCCAATTTAATTTAACCTAAGTTTCTGTCACGACATCTGCAAAACTGAGTAAAAAATATCAGTTTTATTTATTGCGAAAAGTAACACATGCAACTACTGATATTCTTATATACACACCTTTGAAATGGATTCCAGGAAAATTCTGTATCTGCAGGAGAATTTTTAAGTCTTATGTCAGATAATCATGACCATGAAATGAATCTTTTTCTTTGTTGTTGTCAAAGAAAATTGATAAGTAAGTGATAATTAATACCTAAGTACTTTTAAATGCTCAATTCAGGAGGCTAAGATCATCTATTCTTTCTGTCTTTTTGAAAAGAGAGAACTCTATGTCTTCGAATTCTTAAATGTCCCACCTTTAACTGATATATATCTATATTGATATCAGTACCTATCTATATATTTTACTGATGTATATATACTCACACACATATATATATATGCATACATACATACATGCATATATAATATTATTTCTTCTCTTCAAGAAAATTTGGAAAGGGCAAAAAAATTTTTTAAGGAAGTAAAACAGTAATTATCCTGGCAGAGCCAACCACTGTTAAGGTTTTGTCATATTTTTCTTTCAGTCATTAATACAGAGTCCATCTCATGGGGGCATTAACGTAGCAAGCAAGTTGTTTGCAGAGAGCCATGCTATTGGTCCCCAAGCCTTTAGACCGCCTTCTCTCTCTAGAATGCAATGGCATGAGAGTGTAAGCCTGAATTGGTAGGGGAGAGCGCCTTCCCCTTCAAAAGTCTGTTAGCTGGGCGTGGATCAAATCAGTCCTGGGTTTTAAAACTAAAATTGAGTGCTATTAGGAATAAGAGAAAGAAAAGTTAGAAGGATGAGAGAGAGAGAGAGGCAAAATGTCAGAGGTAACTACCAAGAGTTGTCAGGAAAAAGACTTCCTACATCGTACAATTGAAGGAAAACCAGGCTACTGCCCACGATGCCCATTGCCCATCAGCCTGGCTGCAGGGCTCCCTGGACTCAGCAGGAGAGTGTGGTGGAAATGGCGTGGGCCAGGAGTGGCATATCTGGGTTTGAGCTCTGGCTGTTTCCCTTTCTACAAAGAGAATGATCACTTTGTCAGAATGATCTCCAAGTCCTATTTTAGCTCTCAAATCACATCTTTATATTTTTCACCATGAGAGGCATAGGGCTTCTTTGTCTTTAATAATAATAAAATGATACTCAAAGATGTAGTACTTTAAGCCACATAGTTCAGTCAGAGAATCTGACCACAGGTTTTTATAGGGGGTAGGAGTGCTCAGG